CAATATCTGTCACTGGTGATCTCGGCACGGGATAGATTCATTCAACTTAAGTTTTTACATAGTGTTTATTACTCAGCTGTCTGTTTGTCGAGAATATAAGAATATATGTCTCTAGGGACCCTCGGAACCAGGTACATTTTTTCAAATGGTGTGGGCATGCTCACAGGTGCAGGAGTTCTGGAATGGAGTGGTAGAGGATATTAACATGATTCGAAAACTGCAGATCTCTTGCAGTCCAATCCAATTACTGTTAGGGATCTGTGAAAACAGAGGTCCCTCAATCTAAAAAATACTCTTCGTCTTCTACATGGCGTTCTATGCTAGGAAGGCAATCTTACTCCAATGGAAAAAGCCTCATCCCCTGACTGTTCAACAATGGAAATCTTTAGTTAATGCCACCCTGCCCCTGTATAAACTGACGTACCTGGGCCGAAATTGCCCAAGTAAGTTTAATAAGATATGTTGGTATCTGATTACCTGTCTTTCATAGGGTATTCTCTGCCACCTGTTAATCTGACATGACACCCGCTTCAGGTTTACAGGGGTCCTATTCCTTTTCCTCCTTTTTCATATTCTCTCATTCAGCCCTTGTTCTGTACCCCTTGCCCCCCCCCCCCCCCCCGCTCCCTTACTGCTTTTTTTCCCCCTCTCCTTTCTAGCCCTTCCCCTGCCCTCAACCTCTCTCTTCACCCCTCCTTTTGTTGGTTGCATTGTAACCTATACGTGGGTTATCCCCCCTGAGCCTGTCCCCTCGCTGCTTAGACAGATGGATTTAGACATAGAGTTACTGTCCACCTTTTGAATGTGCGAAGAAGGTGCTGGTCCATTGTATTTTGTATATCCTGCCCATTCTGTAATGCGAACCTAGTATGCCTCTGTATTTTGAATCCGCTGTACTTTCTGCTTACTGTCGAAGATTTACCACTTCTATGTGTTCTGCTTTATTAAACTTGAACAAAGTTATTGTTAAAATACATAAGAGGTCCATATAGTGAACTTGGTATAGAGTTATTCTCTTTCAGGTCATTACAGAAGACAAGGGGGCATCTTTACATCTAGAGGAAGAGATCTATTCTCCAAAATATGAAAAGGCTTCTTCACAGTGAGAGCTGTGAAAATGTGGAACAGACTCCCTCAAGAGCTGGTTCTGATCAGCTCAGTAGATTTGTTTTTGTTCTTTAAAACAAAAACAAGCTGGATGCATTTCTAAATGCACACAATATAATGGGATATTAATATTTAGAGGTAATAACGACAGGGGTGGTTGAACCAGGGAATATCCAATTGCCTCATGAGAGACTCCCACAAATCATCATGCTCTGTGATTGGGTGGAGGAAATAATGTCATTCAATGGTTTCTCCTGCATTCACGATCCACAGTGGGGTAGTATTATTACAGGTTTTGCCAATGGCTGTAAGGGCAGAAAGAGGTGGGTAAGCAGCACAACTTTTTTCACTGGCAACAGCTTAGCGCAGTATCTAGTAGCTCTGAAGGAGGCAGTGTAGGAATGTTTTTTAGCAGAAGTTTGCATTAATGTGATAAATACCATTACACATACCACAAAATCTTTGGTGCTATATCCCAAAATAGAAAATACATTAAACCTCAGTTTAAACCCAAGTGCATGTAAACTCCAAACATAATGTCTCCTATTTTCTTCCTTATGGTGTTTTAAGCATTCCACTGAAAGCATTTTATCTGTTGATCCAACCAGAAATCTTGTGGGTCCTTAACTTCTTGTACTCTCTATGCTTGGACTGTTATCAGTTAGCATTATTCCTAGCTATCACATTGAATACAAAACATTTCCCCCATGTAATGGACTGGGAGGGGTATATAATCCTAATGCACTTCCCACCAATAAAGGATACGGGAGGGAAACATTAGGAAAGTCCGCTGCTATAGCAGCAGTGACTGCTGTTGATAGTTCTCCCCTCTCTGTAGCTGCAGAGGTGGAGGAGAATAATCGGCTGTCAACCTGTTATACTATTCTGGCTTCTCCTCGGCCACCTGCAGCTTCCTCCGCTCCCCTCAGCTGCTCCTGGAGGCTTCACCTACATGGTACATGGACGCAACATCGTTGCACCCTCCCACCACCAGGAGAGGAAGAGGGCACCTGAATCAGATGAACTGTGCAATTAATGTTCTATGTTACACTGCTGACCCTTGCACTATGCGTCACAGGCATCAAACGAAGCTCTGCTTTGTTTTCCCTTAATGCCACACTTTCACTTAGCGAAAGTCTCTTACGTGTGATTGTAAAGATGAAAAAAATTGTTCTAAGTTTATAAGAGGCTTGAGTAGTTACAATTAATTTATTGTTTCTCTATTGATGTGAAACACTTATTTTCCTTTTATGTTTACACTGCTTTATGTTAATACTGTTAAAGTTGTTGTTAATTTTAAATTTTTGTAACTTTAATCTGCATAAAACATTTAACAGTGTAATTTCATGAGATAATTTACGAGGGCATGTTTAGGGGCAGGGTGGGGCAGGTCAGGGCAGGGTAGAGGTTGGGTGGGCAACTGGTGGCGAGTAACTCTTAATGCCTGGCTAGTAGCTCAGGACTTGAAATTTTGAGCCCTGTGCTAGTATACATCGCATACTAGCACATTATGACAGACTTACCCTAAAATGAACCCCTTCAGTGGCACACTGTCACTGCTGACAGGGCTTACATTTTCACCTGGTCTTTGTTCCAGGTTTGTGGGCTCCGACCATTTGAATGGTCAAGCCGTGATGACCTCAGTACCATGTATGCGTGCGGGAGTCAGACATGGCACAGCTCTCTCAATGGACACAATGTCATCTATTGAGAGCAACACACATGTGCCGGTGATGTCACCAGCTGCTACTAAGGTAAACATCTCCTAAATGGTGCATGTTTAGGAGATATTAACCACAACTACAGGTAAGGCTTACCTGTATATGTAAATAAAAAAACGGCGTGCAATAAAGCAATATAAATATAAGTGTACAAAGCATACAATGGATTTAAATAATTGATAACATGAAAGAATAATATAATAAAACAAACAATAAACATTCCAGTGTGTTCCACCACCTCTCTGCTATAATTTACCTCAAAAATTGACCCACACAAAAAGGTAAGGTCTACAAACACTTTCCACGCAACCTGGGTCAAAACACTATCACAAGCCACCAGAAAACTAAGCAACACATCAATCATCCAATTGATATCTCAGGATCCAGACCACAATTAGGGATTCTCTTTTACTTTCATTTTGGTCATAATGAGAAACAGGACAAATAAAGAGGGCCTGGCAGATATTTTAATTCCGCTCCATTCTATCAAAAAAATAAAAAATTTGCCTTTAGTTACACTTTAAAGTGTATGTTAACTCAAACTATTTTTTCATGTTCTCTTTATTTCTTAATTTACTGTCAAATACCTTCTGATCCCACCAGTTCCCCTTGGTACCTAATCTAATATGACTATGCCAAGCATGGAAGCAGATACTAAACGTGCTAGTGTGGTCAGTCTGCATCCATGGGACTGCTGCTCAGATGCAACGTGCCTGATTCCCGTAGTCAGTTTAGATGCCTCACCCTCCATCCAACCCTATACTATGTATACACTCCCTTCTTCCTCTGTGTGTAGAAGGACATAAATGGTGCCTATGTGGTCATATGTCCACAAAATAAAACCTCAAATAAAAAGGTACACAACATTTATCTAAAATAAAAGGAACTGTGATTATGGTTCTGAAAAAAATATTTGCTGTATAAGAATGTGATTTAGTAGATGTGTGTTCACAAAAACTTTAAATGGCTGCAATCCAAAAATTAATATAGAGCGACGCTTAGGAAGGAAGAAGCATTTTAGTTTTAGTCTGCCTTTACCAAAAGGAAAAATTGTGCAAAAATCTGTAGAAACCTAGGAACTATATTACAGAGAGGGGTCACAAACAGGCAATTTCAGGTTTATGTCCTTGAATGACAACCAGGGTTGTCCAACCTGCATCCCAAGATGGCTATAAATGCGGTCCAACACAAAATTATAAACGTTTATTTTTTGTAAAAAATATGTTTACACTTAAAAAAACATTTTGTCCACACGTGTTTTCTGAAAGTCTCTCTTTACTGGACTTTTATAAGTTTTACTTTCCCAAAGAAAAATCTCCCACTCTTCATAATCTGTTTTTGACAGCACCTATAGTTGTGAGCAACCATTTTCAAGGATGGCGCACACGAAGGGCAAAATTAGAACCAAAATATCAGATGAGCACCTTGAGAATTAATTGGGAATTGCTACTACATCCATCGAACTAGATATTGATGCATTAGTTTATCAAAAACAGTGTCAAATATCATACTAGTTTTATGTTGCCCTCTTTTACTTTTATAATAAAAAATATAAAAAAAATAACAATTTTTTTTATTACCCATAAATGTACAATATCTACATCAATGATCATTAACTTGTGATCTGTGACTTTTTCTGCCCAACAGCTATCCTTATTGCTACTGTATTTTATATGTGGCACAAGACAATTCTTCTTCTAATATGGCCCAGTAAGGTGAAAAGGTTGGACACCCCTGCTCTAAACCTTAGTTCACAGCCAGTAAAATGGTATTTCCTTTTTTTCTCATTTTGACAATGTTTTGCTGGCTTCTGTTTAAGTGCTTCCTTGTTAGGAGTGCCACCTGTTTTGTGAATCTAGTATCACCTTTCCACTAGTTGCACTTAATTGTTTGTGGACTGATTAATTCCTACAGTGCGTGGTCTACTGAGTAACACTGGGGGCGATGTATAAAAGGAGGAGATACTACACAGTATAAAAGGAGGAAATACTACACAGTATAGTACATCCAGCCAGAAAAAAACACAGTAGGAGTATTAGGAGTTGCTGTTATTTAATAGCTGGTAAAGCAAAAGTTGTAAGTAAATATGATCTGGCAAAAAAGATTTATCATTTTAAGAATAGGCTGTGTTCATAAAAAACAGTGGATATTGTATGTGAATAGGGGACTGACCTCATTACTTCCCGGATACCAGGGGATGAAGACACAATGGTTGAAGTGGTGTAGTGACCAAACCACACAGATTGGTTGCTATGTAGACTCTCTACAGCAAACTCCGACAACTTCTGCATCTGATCCTAGAAGAGGCACAAGACAGCATATACAGTAATTTGAAAACAATATCATGGAAACCCTGATATATAGTGCATGCATACTCAGGTTGCTATGGCTGATCAATTTGTGACTGCAAAGAGAAAGAGCGCGAGAGAAAAAGGGAGCGCAAGCGAAATAACGAGAGCACGAGAGAAATGACGAGAGCGCAAGAGAAAGGAGAGAGAGAGAAAGCGCGAGAGTGAGAGAGTGCGAGCGAGAAAGCGAAGAAAGAGAGACAGAGAGAGAGAAAAAGAGAGAGAGCAATACGTCCAGACTCTGATCTGATTGTGATCCTAACAGGCGCCTAGACTACAACAAAATGGTGGCCGCTAATACCAGTAATTCAATACAACACAACAAGGAACCGACCACAGCAATATGGCGGCTGGCGGGACAACAAAATGGCAACCGCCAATCATTATCGATTGGTATCAGGATTTTGGGGGGTATATATAGATGTTCGGTGGGGCGCTCCAGCTCCGATCCTGATGAAGTCATATGACGAAACGCGTAGGGTAGGGTTTGTTAGCGCCACATCTGTTCCTTGAGATGGAATACAGAGGAATTGCAGTGTCCTAGGATTTTACAGTGCCATACACATGCTCACATGTAAGGGCCTATTTTAAGTGTTTTATACCCAATAAAAAAAAACAGTATTACGATATGGAAGCTTCCTTTGATTGTTTTTCACGGCTGTGGAGGAGGATTGTGGATGATCTGGAGTGTTTTTCATACATGGAGCTCAGAATCAGTGGATAGAGGCTTCAAGAGCACGCAGGAAGCTGATCGCTATAGAGGCTTGCTGAAGCACCAAATGCAGGTCGTCAACATCTTGTGGTGAGTGGGGCTCTGGAGGAGGTGCACTGAATGGGGCACTCAACACAAAGATCTTTATGGATTGATCACTGAATCACATATTATCACATGAAATGTGAATGTGGAAAGTATTTTATTTTGGGACTTTAAATGTTTGAATGTGGAAAGTGGTGCACTGGGACTTTGACATTTGCACCGTGTATATGTATTATATCATTTATTTTTATTTTTCAAATATTTTACATTTATATATTTGAATTCGGTCATATTGGGAGACTTGTTGTCACAATTTTGTAGTATTTGCACACCTATTTGCACAGTATTTAATTATTATAAGACAGTTTGTTAGCATTGGTTCATGCACGCATGGCATATAGGTATGCAAACTTCCCCCTAATCACAGGGATGCACTGAGACCCTGGGGAGGAAGGGTGTATACAAGGCATAGTATTCTTTGTATGGCATACAGTCATTCATTTCTTTGATTACTTATTTATGGGCCACAATCACGAATGCAATATGGAACAGTTAATTATTAGAGGTAGCGCAGCATCTATTTACGTTTTACTTCTGTATGCGTGTTGAACATTTTGATGAGAAAGTAAATATTGTATGTTATAATAATTCATCCCTCTTGATGTAATTTAATAGCATGTAATGACTTTTGTTTTTGCTAGTGCAATAGAAATAATGAGGGGAGAATTTTGTTGTACTGAACATTGTAAAGGACCAGTATACTAGGACAATTAATTGTTTAATCACATAATATTTTTCCTGTTAATGTGTACAAACATGACAAGTACAGACCAGGTAGTCAACTTAACATATCAGAAGAGGATTAATTAAACTGAAGTATGTTCATGATTTTCCTTTTAAAGTCATGGACTCTCAAATGGAGTTAAAAAAATAATGGACTACACCAACACAAGTGATGATACTGTGAGTCACAGGTTAGGGTGGAAAGGGCTTCTACCTTCTTAAGTATTCCAAAGAAGTTGAATGGTCTTTTGGGTCCCGGCGTGAGAGTGGCATCTACACAGATAAAGGAGTAATTCCCAAACGAGGTTTGATGAATATAATGAAAGGAACCTTCTTTTTGCCATCCTGAATATTTCCTGGAAAAAGAAGTTAAAACATTTTAAATAGCTGGAAATTCAGAAACATTCTCTGCTACCGAGCCCCTAATAAACTGTTCTATATTCTTCAACTACTGAAGTTAACCTGACCTGGGCTAAGAGCTAGTTCACACCAGATGAAGTCCAGTGCATTCTTTTCTGCATCAAAAAAGCATGCACAGTGTTTTACATGTACAGTGGGGATCGAAAGTTTGGGCACCCCAGCTAAAAAATCTGTATTAATGTGCATAAAGAAGCCAAGGAAAGATGTAAAAATCTCCAAAAGGCATCAAATTACAGATTAGACATTCTTATAATATGTCAACAAAAGTTAGATTTTATTTACACTCATCATTTACACTTTCAAAATAACAGAAAACAAAAAAATGGCGTCTGCAAAAGTTTGGGCACCCTGCAGAGTTAATATCTTGTACTGCCCCCTTTGGCAAGTATCACAGCTTGTAAACACTTGTAGCCAGCCAAGAGTCTTTCAATTCTTGTTTGTGGTATCTTTGCCCATTCTTCCTTACAAAAGTCTTCCAGTTCTTTGACATTTCTGGGCTGCCTGTCACGCACTGCTCTTTTAAGGTCTATCCATAGATTTTCAATTATGTTGAGGTCAGGAGATTATGAAGGCCATGGCAAAACCTTCAGTTTACGCCTCTTGATGTAATCCCCCGTGGATTTCGAGGTGTGTTTAGGATCATTATCCATTTGTAGAAGCCATCCTCTCTTTAACTTCAGATTTTTCACAGATGGCATCAAGTTACCATCCAAAATTTGCTGAAATTTTATTGAATCCATTTTTCCTTCTACTCGTGAGATGTTCCCTGTGCCACTGGCTGCAACACAACCCCAAAGCATGATTGATCCAACCCCATGCTTAACAGTTGGACAGAGGTTCTTTTCATTAAATTCTGTGCCCCTTCTTCTCCAAACGTACCTTTGCTCATTCCGGCCAAAAAGTTCAATTTTAACCTCATCGGTCCACAGAACTTGTTTCCAAAATGCATCAGGCTTGTCTATATGTTCATTTGCAAAGTTCAAACGATGATTTTTGTGGTGAGGACGTAGAAGAGGTTTTCTTCTGATGACTCTTCCATGAAGACCATATTTGTACAAGTATCTCTTTATAGTGGAATAGTGTACCACAACTCCAGTGTCTGCCAGATCTTTCTGGAGGGATCGTGCAGTCAAACGTGGGTTTTGAATTGTTTTTCTCACAATCCTGCGAGCTGTTCTGTCTGATATTTTTCTTGGTCTTCCAGATCTTGCTTTAACTTCCACTGTTCCTGATGACTGCCATTTCTTAATTACATTCTGAACAGAGGATATTGACATCTGAAAACACTTTGCTATCTTCTTATAGCCTTCTCCAGCTTTGTGAGCGTCAACTATTTTCAGTTTCAGTTTTCTAGACAACTGCTTAGAAGAACCCATGGTGCTGATTGTTGGGGCAAGGTCAGATGAGTCTGGGCATTTAAAACCTTTGAGATTGACATCATCTGGTCTTCCCAGATGATGATTGAGAACAATCCATGACACTGGCAGGTCTCAGCTTTGCAAAGGGGGCAGTGCATGCTATAAATTCTACAGGGTGCCCAAACTTTTGCAGACGCCATTTTTTTGTTTTCTGTTATTTTGAAAGTGTAAATGATGGAAATAAAATCTAACTTTTGTTGACATATTATAAGAATGTCTAATCTGTAATTTGATGCCTTTTGGAGATTTTTTTTTTACATCTTTCCTTGGCTTCTTTATGCACATTAATACAAATTTTTAGCTAGGGTGCCCAAACTTTCGATCCCCACTGTATATCAATGGCTCTAGTTCACGTCAGTTCCAGTCAGTTTCCGGTGCAGGAAAAACATTTTTTAAAACGATTTGTTAAACGTGTGCAAACAACACAAAAACAGCTCTGGCAGCGAACGGGATAAAGGATAAGTCCGACACTCCCCTTTCCTGACAAGCACCTAATCAGTGCTCATTACACTGCAAGGTCTCTCCCCTCCCTGCTAGTCCTGGAGTGTGGTGCTGGAGACAGGCAGGGAGGGGAGGAGGAGAGAAAAACAACGCAATGTTCAAAATATTAAAACGTTTAAGTCACCATAAAGCCCCTTTTGTTTTTAAAAGCCCCAGACAGTACTTTAATAATCCACTTGCCTACCACACACTTATACCCCCTTCTTGCCCAGGCCAATTTTCAGCTCTGTCGCACTTTGAGTGACAATTGCGCAGTCATACAACACTGCACCCATATGAAATTTTTATAATTGTTTTCACACAAACAGAGCTTTCTTTTAGTGGTATGTCCTCACCGCTGAGGGTTTTATTTTTTTGAGCTATAAACAAACTGATGGGCACTGGTAAGCTGGCACTGATATGCAACAATGATGGGCACTGATAGGCGGCACTGACTGGTGGCAGTGATGGGTGGCACTGGTGGGTGTCCCTGCTGGGAACCGATCATCGGTGCCGATCCCTCCTCTGACAATTGCCGGTTATCGGCAGTAATTGGTGGCACTGGTGGGTGTCACTGCTGGGAACCGATCATCAGTGAGGATCCCTCCTCTGACAATTGCCGGTTATTGGCAGTACTTTCCTCACCCTGTGACAGCGTGAGGAATGTGCAGCCGATAGCCGGCAACTGCATTTACCGGTGATCTGCTGTGTCATTGGACACGGCTGGTCACGAGGTAAAAGGCTGCTGTGATTGGCCTTTTACCACCTCACATGATCAGCTGTGTCCATAGGACACAGCAATCACAGAGATTGCAGGGGGTGCGCGGGAGGGCGCATTCTGGGAGGACGTCATATGACACCCTCCCAGAACTGGCCGGCCGCAGTGAAGCCGTCATTCGGCAAGTGGTTAAGCAGATTTAAATACGGTTTTGGTTCAAATATATTTTTTTTTTTTATCTTGACAAGCAGATTGGAACCCCAATTTAGTCCCTGGACAAGTCGTTTTTTAAAAAATGTCAACACCCCTGCATGCACCTTGCAGTGCTTGCAAGGACTGCAATAATCCTCATCTCGATTCCTTGTTCCTGCAGCGTTCTGCAAATCCTAGGGCAAGACTAATCTTAAGGCTTTGCTTGAAAAGAGATTAAACCTCACCCCACCTGATAGGTTCTTGTGGCTTAATTTCAACATAGGGAAAAAGCCTCGTCCAGCTTGGTCCTAGGATCAAAGAGCCTCCACAGGTAATGATTTGCAATTATTTTAGGCACTTGGAGGTTCCATATGATTTTACCATAGACAATGTTTAGGCTCATTAGATTCTCATACTGACCAGCAAATTGCTGTGAAAGAAGCAGTGCGATAATAACTGAATGATATAATACCCAATTAATCCTCTATATTTAGAATTTTATAATATATTTATATTTTATAATACATAAATCCTCCATATTTCTATATTGTATTAACCCTTGGAGGACCATCGTACGCCCCTTGAAGGTTAGGGACTGATGTGAATGTACAATATATATGTAAAGTGCTGCGTAAATTGATGGTGCTATATAAGTACCTGTAATAAAATAAAATGAAAGGAATATAGGGATGTAATTTCTGATTTCCTTCAAAAAATGTTAATTGCCTGGCTGCCATTTTGACTCTGCTTTCAACTACATCTGCTAAGCATGCAGAATATGAGTTATCAGATAAAGAAAGGTGCAGCGCTAAAAATAGACTGTTGAAATAAAGCACTCCATACAATATATAAAAAATATAAATCCATATGTAAAAATTAATAAATTAATGGTATGCCCATATAAGGTGACATAGTGCAAATCACATGTAAATATAATATATCCACAATATAGTGCTCCAAACTGTGACATATAAAAGTCCACAGAATATTAATAGTGAAACACAGACCAGACACAGGCCACAGTCATAAAAATAGTGCAACAAGAGCTAATACAACTACAGAGCCCATTCTGGAGGACAGTGGTGCTGCAGATAACCCAGGGGAAGGGGATCTCTCTGACCAGACCAGGCTGCTTATATCCTTAAGGGGACCTCCGGCTGACAACCATACTGTATACACAAATGCGTATTATGATTATGCATCTGGTGAGTGCGCAATCTTAACATATACTCTTGGCACATCACCTGACCATTAGAGGCATATGGATCACATTTTGGATGGATCTTCACTATTAATATTCTGCGGACTTTTAGATGTCATAGTTTGGAGTGGTGTTTTCCAGCACTATTACGTGCTCACAATTGTCACGTCAGTAGCACCAGGGGCGGACTGACAACTCATGGGGCCCCCGGGCAATAGGGGATCATGGGGCCCCTGTGTCCTTGTCCAAACTAAAAAAAGCCTATGAAAAAGGTACCAGGGGCATCTCATGGGGCCCCCTACTGACTCCGGGCCCTCGGGCAGTGCCTGAGTTTCCAAATGGTCAGTCCGCCCCTGAGTAGAACTATATTGTGGATATATTATATTTACACGTGATTTGCACTATGTGACCTTATATGGGCATACCATTAAATTTATTAATTTTTACATATGGATTTATATTTTTTTATGTATTTATTGTATGTAGTGCTTTATTTCAACAGTATATTTTTAGTGCTGCAGCTTTCTTTATCTGCTTACTTTGGAGGTTAATTTTGGCTGCCTTTTTGGTGCAAGAGCAGCTTGCGGTTTTTGAAGCTCGCATTTCTGCCTGTATTAGATTATGAATTATGTCTTACATACTTTACACTGAGTTTAGTCAGTGACTTAAAACACTTAAAGTGGAATTATACTGCATATGAGCAAACCAAAATACTATTTAATTCATTTTTAGTATTCAAAACAAACTCCCCTATCCAGCCATGTCTCTATGCTTTAATTTGTGGAGAATTCACTTTGAAAAACACCCCTAGCACTTCTGGCCACAGCCATCCTGAGCAAGGGCATTCATATAGAATTTATTTCCTGGAATCCATCTGCCCTTAGTTAAAAGAGAAGTTTGGGTTTTTTCCCCCCAAATTATACTTAC